AAAGGTGCCGTTGCCGCCGGCGTATAAGCCATGCGATACCGGTCCGGAGCTGTAGAGGTCGGTGTCGTTGACATAGACGATGGTGCCGGTGCCGTAAGCATAGACGTTGGCAGCGCCGTTGTGGACCGTCACGTTGGCATGGTCGATGTACGCGGTCGATTGGTTGGCGATGTTGATTGCCGCGTTGACGCCGAAGAAACTGGCCTGGTTCAGCCATGTGCTGTAGCCATACTTGATCACATCACTGTAGGAGAGGTTCACGACTGATCCCTCCGTGCCGACGAGGACGCTGGTATCATTGGCGTCGACCGTCAGAGTCACGTGTGCCAGTTCGACATCCTCTTCTGAGTAGTAATATGGTCCGGAGATATTGTAGATCAGGTACTGCGCGCCGCCATTGTCGGTGGTGTAATCGGCCACCAGTGTGTTGTCTACAGCATCGGCCGTCACATCAGCGGAATCGCTGGGGTCCCAGACCGTGATAGAAGCAAAGACCTGCGGTAGATACGACAGAAGGAGCAGCGTGAGAGACGCCATGGCTGATCTCAATGTGGAGACTCTGATGAGGTGGTCATGGAAGGCATTCACAGGCAGCTGGAAGCAGCTTATATACCCCCCTGTCTTGTGCTCGCAATGACCTGGGAGTGGAACTGAAGCTCACATATCGTAGCATGTTAAGTGAAAAGCAGTGGGGCCGTGACAACGATTTTTATCGTTGAGCAATGCTCGGGAGAAAGCTGGAGACAGCACCATCTGCCCGAAAAGTGGGCCAGCAGACTATAATGCACTAAACGTACACTACCACGCACATCTTCTCATCCTCGACCACACGAACCGAAAGCATTACAGTCTTCACTCTAGCGTTTCGCGTAGCTGTCGTTGTCAAGCACATCAGCTTGCCCCAGACATGCCGAACTCTGATGTGGAGCCGACGAAACAAGGCCGGTTGGCGCGTCCGACCATCTACAATCTTCACCACCACCTTCAAAACGCGGGGTATGGGGTATGGAAGGTAAGTCTTCTTTCAGGATAGGCGCTGCTTGGCTGCGTTAGCGCTTCATCTACATTGTTGGTCTGGATCCCAAGAGCTGACGCGTTCAACGTAGCTCCTACCATGAGTCCCGGGACGTGGGCAGCTTCTACGAATGCACGAGTAGGTCAATTGCCTAGGCAATGAGATTTATTGCCATTGAGATTTCTTCTGTTGCTCGGTGAGGGAAGTAAGTCTTTCAGGGTGCATACAATGCGATCACTGGTGCGAATCACTCCATCCCACATAAACATCTCCACCCCATGCACAAACATTCGGCTCTCCTATACAAGCACATTCCCAGAAAGGTGACCAAACCACTTGAACCGTAGATCCCGACCCGCCCTTGTTTGGTGCGCTTCCGGGATACGATAATATGAGGGTTGCCTTGAGCAATAACTGAGATGCCCGACCCAGACCGACGATCCCAGCCGGTCCGCCCACTCCAGCTATTCCCTTCATACGAGAAGCGGTCCATCACTACCGGCGCCCTCTTAGGACTCGCGTCCTGTGGGGTGATGAACGGCAGATACTCGACCTTGCCTGACTCGAGCCACTCCGTATCCGAATCGCTTGGCGTCTCCTCCTCGACATCTTCTCAGCTCGGATCTCGTGCAGTATACACCGTCACACCCCCGCCGGCAGCAGCGATGGCTTGAATTTCCCATCTCCCCCGGGTTCTCGACATAAAAAGCTGTCGATATCTGATCTTCGCCCCCCTGACTATCAACTTTGCTGGCTGAACAGCTCATCGCCAATTCCTCCTTCATCACACCGAAAGTGCGGGCGGGGCACGAGGGTGGTGACCTCACTGAAAGCAAGCCTGCGTTCAAAGCATGCACTCACAGCGCGAAACAAGTTTTTCTTCATTTGTTCAGCAGGCCATCTGAGAGATTCAAGTCAATAGGTAGAGAAGATTGCGATGATAGTACCCGAACTAATACACGCGATCGGGGTTCTGTATGTGCGGGACCTGGGTCTGGAATAGACTCCGGCTGTACCACCTGCAAAGACTCTAAGTGAAGAAAGGGTAGCCAGAAAAGTGCAACTAAGGCCAGCAGCGTTTCTCCCTGTTTGCGAGTCTTGAATCTCCAGAGACTGACAAGGACCTGTTAGTGATCGGAGGACTGATTTTTCCGCGATTAGGGCTGGTTCGGAGGAGCGGGCAAATGCGGACTCGAGACGGCTCGGGCCTTCCGCTGGTAAAACAACACCCGAAACACGGGATAAATTTCTCGATTCCAACTAATGGAAACAATCAAGGTAGGTGGGAGAGTAGAACACAGTCGAGGCTACAAATCCCGCCAGAGCACGGATGTTTACGCCCGTGAGATGGGGGCCGCATGGAGGGGACTGATTGGCCTCCTTGACCCGCGATGGACGGCTGATATGCGGGAAAACAAGCAATTCTCCACTTATTTGCGATCGCTTATTCCAATCCTTCGCCAATCTCGATCTTCATAGGGCGATAAGTCAAGGCAATGGAGCAGAGGTCAGCACTACTGACACTACTGACATTTTCCGCCCCCAACGCAAGGGGTTAACTTAACGTTACCTGGCTGTGCGTGCGTACGACGAAGACTGCGCTGCGCCCCTTTTACCACCAAGGAATCTTTCTCCCCTTCCTCTCCACCTCCTTCTTTACACTTTTCCCCTCGTGCGCGCGCGCGCTCTCTCTCTCTCTCTCTCCCTCCCTGCCTTCACATCCAAGGTCGAATGTGATGTGACCATGCAACGAATATCTCTCCTCGTCCTCGCCGTCCTCGACGCGACGTACGCAGCCAGCCCCTATGTGATGAACTGGTCCTCCCAGGCCTACGGGCCCGACGGCCCATGGCAAGCAGTGACGGTGGAGGTTGGCAGCAATAAACAACCGGTGGCATTGTACCCGGGCGCGACTTACACCACCACCATCCTGACGGACTCCATCTGCACCAACAAGACCGTTTCCGCGACATGCTATGCTTCCCAAGCCGGAACGTACAACCAAACCGAATCAACCTCAGCCCACCTTCTGAGCAAGACTTCGTGGGAAACACTGTACTGGGCGGTGGAAGGCAAAGGTATTGAAGAAGATCTTGGAGATCAAATCTCGTTCGGCCCGACCGTCCCCAACGTCAGCATTCAGGCCATCGACCAGACGTACCAGACCTATCCGAACGGCAAGGCGTATCCGGTGCAAGTGGGAAACCTGGCCCTCGGGGCCCCGTGGTCGACTGCTACCGTCGACAATGTCACTCTGAACATGATCACCCCGTGGCTTTACAACTCCGGCGGGGACAATGCCATCCCCTCGTATTCATACGGCATGCACATCGGATCGGTCAGCCCAGCGATCCCAGCCTCCCTGGTCTTGGGTGGGTACGACCAGAGCCGCGTCCTCGGAAACGTCAGTGCACAGTCGGTCACCAGCACAAGCGGCACATTTCAGATCTCCCTTAAAGACATTGGCCTCGGGTTGATCGGAAACAGTACACCAGCAGGCTTCACCAGCCAGGGGGGCTTATTCCAGCACGGCGAGGGGGAATCCACAGCCGAAGTGGTCACCATCGACCCGACCAAGCCCTACATGTACCTCCCGGAGGCGACCTGCAATGCGATCACCGCCTCGCTCCCAGTCTCCTTCAACCAAAGCCTGGGCTTGTATTTCTGGGACACCACCAGCAGCAATTACGCCAATCTCACCTCCTCCCCGACTTACCTCTCCTTCACCTTCAGCCTCAACAACGCGACCAGCCAGAATCTTACCATCAAGGTTCCCCTCGCGCAGCTCGCCCTGACGCTGCAAGAACCACTGGTCGAACAAAACCAGACATACTTCCCCTGCTTCCTCTCCACCGATACCCCCGTCCTGGGCCGGGCCTTCTTACAATCCGCCTTCGTCGGCGTCAACTACCACGAAGGCGCCAACTCCGGCACATGGTTCCTCGCGCAGGCGCCGGGGCCCTCCGTCTCGAACGCAGCCATCACAACCATCACCGTCCCCGCCAAGTCGATCGCCGGCACCAACGCCTCGTGGGAGGCCAGCTGGGCCGAATACTTCCATCTCGACACCACCACGACGTCTCAGAACTCCACCACGGTGGCCAGCGGAAGTGGTGGACTCAGCGCGGGGGCGAAAGCGGGTATTGGGGTCGGGGTCGGGGTCGGGGGGGCGCTGGTCATCGCCGCGGCAGTGCTGTGGATGGTGCGGCGGAAACGGCGCCAGCGCCGGAATGCAGGCGAGAAACGAAAGCCCGGGGAGGGAGGATTTGTGGAATTGCCTGCGCGCGTGACGGAGGGGCCGCCCAGGGAGTTGGACACAAAGAAACAGGTGCAGGCGCGCGAGTTGGCAGGGACGGAACCGCCGCGGTATGAGCTGGAGTAGGTGGCATCGCGTTGGGACGGTCTGTGGAATCGATGATTGGTTTTATGTAATGAGATGAAGATACCAAGAATGAAAGACAGTTGGATGAGCAAACGGTTGCGGCTGTACAGGTGGATTCTTGGCTCGAGAATGGAGGAGAAGCAGCCATGCTAAGACAGCAAAGCATGCGTGTCTGTGCTTTTGAATACTTAATTGACTCATGACACTTATTTGAACAATGAATTCAGTGGTGACCTTTGCTGATGCCGGAGAATACCTCTTGGTTCCTGCTTTGACAGACGATGCAATGGCATATAAGAAAAGACCCTTGCCATTTCACACGTTCTGTTCCCCTATCTTTGTTGAAGAGTCATCCTCTTCCTTCTCATTCAGCAGGCTCTCCTTGTTCCGGTCTCTCCGTCGTCCTCCACATGATAAAGACTGCATAGCACTCCATAAAGGCCATGTCCATCAAGAGGAGCCCTCGTCTTCCAGAGCTTGAAATATAAAGGCCATGTCCAGCCCTACCATGTATCCCTCGCCTCACCATCGCCTTCAACACACCATAGAGACGTAAAAGCTAACCCTTCCAAACAAAGGCCCCAACAACAAACCCCACCATCCATGCATCTCAACCCGCTTACCCCCCGAGCCCAGCTCCTCCGCGAGGTGCAACAGCTGCTAACCAGCCACCAGGTCTGCGGCGTCGCGCTCGACGCCTCCAGCCCGCGCACCGAGCGCACCGACGCCATGGCAATCCCGGAAGCCATCCCAGAAGACGCCATCGTCATCCTCTGCCCCGACATGAACGTCTGCAGCGAGGCCTGGTGGCTGCTGCGAACCCTGCACCTGGGCGACGGCAGCTCCGTGCAGGGGAATCCCCTGCTCGCCTCCGAGTTTCCGGTGCAGCAGCGGGAGAGGGCGGACGGGACCCGGTGGGCCGGGTGCATGGTGTTTATGGCGCAGCATTATGTACGCGGGCAGGAGCTCAAGGTGATTGTCCTCGAGGAGCCCGGAACGGTGCCACCCCCGATACCTATTATCTGGTGAGGGAGCTGAGTATCTGGCGGACTCCTGTTGTGATTGTCGATGCTGGGCTAGCTTGTTTTTCTTTCTCTACCTTCAATGATGCAGTTATACTTTCAAGATTTTCTTTGCTCTGCTTGTTCCAGCTTTTGCTTTATTGTCCCTCAAATTCAAGCATTCCTCGTAGCATTCCTCGTAGCATTCCTCGAAGGATAAGATGCTCTGGTGCCTCTGGTTCAGGATCGGATGGCTGTTCTCATACGGGTCTCCCAGAGCTCGGACTCGGAGTTGTTATTGTCCTGCACATCAAATTAGCGGTATTCGACCGACTGAGACGGGAAGCATGCGACCATACCCCGAACCATATAGCAAGCAAGGTATGTGTATCCATGAAATATGTCGGAGCGGTGCAGTGGTGGAAACCGCGGGAACAAAAAAGAAGCATATTCCGGATATGCACCGAATGGGGTTTGAACCCACGACCTTCGCATTACGAGTGCGACGCTCTACCACTGAGCCACCGGTGCTTATCTAATAATCAGATCTGTCTTTTGAAAATTATAGCCTTTTAATCTAGCAACCATCTAACGCCTTAATATTGCTAAATGTAAGTAGCATTTCACCTTCTACAAGTAAGCTTCAGATGACCTGTAGGCCAAGGACACTTTTCTCGTGTTTGATTCTGCAACAGTCTCTTTTGAAATTAAAATTGTACACAATTTCGGAATGCCACGGATCCGAGAGGTAAGAATTGACGTACCATGAAGCAAGATTTCGCAAGCAAGAAAATATCCGTAGATCGAGAATAAGGGGTATAGGCCTGTGAATGAAAAGCTCATTCCTTGTACTTTTTATCTTGCTATCTGGGGATGAACGGCTTACTTGGGGCTATTGTGGAGAGACTGGAGTGAATGGAGAGCTTCGCTAAGGTGCTTTGTGTAGCTAACTGAGACAAGGACGACTTGTGTCAAGAAAAAGGGGAGAGAAGGGTAAGAAGAAGGTAAAAGGATCAGAAGTGAGGAAGCTGTCACACAGCAACAACAACAGCGGCATTGCATATAGTAGCTCAGATAACTGCACCGTGACCTCGCAGTGAGCAAGCCTAGCACACTGCATACGCCGGAGGCCGCCGTGTAGTGCCAGCGCGATACAAAGACGAAAATCCCGCGTTCCCACTATACTTCACATAGCCACCCTTGGATCTCCGCCGGCAATTGTTGTAGATTCGATTGCAAGTCTGCCGTTGAGCGGTGAACCGCCGAGAATGACAAGTACTGGTGTTGCAGATGACGAAGACGGCGTTCCCATAGCTGTACAGCCGGCAGTTAGGACTTCCTCGGCGGGCTGCAGGAGGCAAATTCACGGACGTAGGGACAGTTCGACTGCAAAGCCCGCTGACACTGGCATAGGTGGGTATCTCATTGGCGCAGGTCAGCTCATCTCGTGCCACATCCATCACTTCGTCTTCTTCTTCACCTTCCTCCTCCTCCTCCTCCTCCTCTACCTCCTCCACGTCCTCCATCTCATCCCAGTCGTCTACCCCCACTTCTTCCACCTCCTCATCGGGGATATCTTGATCCACAGCAGCCACAGTAGCATTATTGGCATCCAAGACCTCCACGTAGCAAGCAACGCCATCCGATCCAGTGTCAATCTCACTCGCGGCAAGATCGTCACAAAGCGCCAGCGGGGTGTCACTGACGGCCGCCGCCGTTGTCATTGTTGTCAGCGTCAACCCCATGACCATCATCATCAGACAGAGAAATGAGATCCAGCGGGTGCACGGGGATGGTGCCATCTTCGACCAGGTCATGGAACTCCGAGGAGCCCAACAACGCCGAGTGAATCACGGTGTGGTCGGATCGGTTCTGGGCTTCGATCTCGAGACGAGTCAGATGTAAGAGATGCTCGAGAAGAGAGAAAGGAAGAATCACAACGCCGAAGCCTTCGATTCTGAAACCGAGTCCGTCCTCGCTGCTGCCGGCTGGCTGGTTGTCGGACATTCTGTGCTCGAGAGAGGGCCGGATCGTGCCTTTTATGCGTTTCTGTGGAGAGAGAGAGCTTGGAGGATCGTGTATGCGGTTGATGGAAGATGGAAAGTGAGAGAGAAGATGGAAGAAGCGGGGTGAGGATAGATGAGGGGTTGTTGGGTCAGAGTTACACAGCAGGCCTGTTCAGTGAATCAGCTCGACAGGTCAGACGTCGATATTGCCTGGTGGCAGGGAAGGGACGGCTACGAGGAATAGTTCCGAAATATGCTTGATATTCACCGTGCGATGTCGTGCCATAGGACGAGGAATGGTATGGAAACTTGATCTAGTACACCCGCATCACAGAGGCCATTAGGGTTATGATGATGGTGGTGGTCATAAACTACGCATAACGACTATCTACGTACATGGCCTTCAGATTTGGCTGGGTTTCAGGACTATCTATTCAATATAGACCCTCCTCTTTGCTATTCATCACAGGATCTGGAACCTAAGACAGAAGGGCTCACTGAAGTAGTACGAGGTAATAGGCATCACTAATCTCCTTCCTCATTAGGCACAGGACAGGAGGAGCCGAGGATGAGCTTGTATGCCGGTAGCCTCTCTTGTATGCTTAGAGGAAAGGATTGCCATGGTAGATGTTGGAGCTGAAAGTTGTTGCAGATCCTTGTCCTTGCTGCCTAGGCCAAGCCGACAACCATCTAGGATAGACTTCCTCGCTTGGTTACCAAGGCTCGCGCCTTCATGTCATGGTGAAACACCGGCCCTGTTAAGAGGGTAATGCGGGATGTCTCTGGTTGGGGGCCTGATGCAGGGCGCACTCGACCTTTCAACTCATGAGATAACCATCCTGGAGTCAACACAGATGAAAACACTGCGTGCCATTCTCGACTGTAAGATCATATACCTATCTCTATTGGAGGACCTGCTTCCGTATGAAATCATACTGCAAGTATGGCAAGGTTGTTCCCAGCGTTGCCTCCTTCGCGGAGTATAACCCCCAGCTGAAAGATCTGACCATGCAAGGCTGCCAAGCCAAGAAAAGGGTCATGTATTATATTCATTATGCAAGAGTGGACATGATTAACTAAGAGAGTAATTCAATGACAGATCTCGGCTACCTGCACAGCCATATACGCCCTCACAACCACCGAGCAAACCAGTCCAGCACCTGCTTCTCCGAATCCTCCAGACAAGCCCTCTCCAAGGGATCATCGGGATTCCCTCTGACCGCAAACCCGTGCCTACCCGGCTTGTACACTTTGTGCTGAATCTCCGGCAGCTGTCTTCCCTTCTGTCTCTCCTTCTCATGTACCTCTTCCACCTGACCCTTCATGGCAATGTTGACCCCCTGATCCTCCAACCCCCATCCGACACTCGTCGGAACCACCAGATCCGCGACATCCTCCGGCAACGCGACATGACTGGGATGCAGCGCGACCACCGCGTCCACGAGGGGGGCCTTCTTCCCGTCCTGCCCCTCAATCTGATTCCTTTCCAGCCCAGCCCGGAGGGCGTACTTGCCGCCCCAGCAGAACCCGACCATTCCGATCTTCCGGTCGGCCGGGGTATCCCGTCGCAAGTTGGCCAGGAAGTCAAAGCACACCTTGTGGGTATGGGCCTCGCGGTGTCTTCTCCACCACAGCAGAAAGGCTGGCGCGGCTGCTAGAATGCCCGTGTATTTGGCCAGAGTAGACTGCTTGCTGGCGTCGACGGGAAGCAATACGTCGGCCGTCTTGAGGGGAACGGGGTCGCCCTCGAAGAAGTCCGGGAGGTAGACGAGGTAGTTGCCGGACTTGGCGTAAGCGTCGGCGATAAGACGGTTGTTGGGGAGAGGAAGGCCGAAGATATCAGAGTAAACAACAATGATAGCACGAGGGTTGGTGCGATTCCCGGTCACGTAGACGTTGAGGCCGTGGAGCGGTTCTTCGCTGCCGACGGGTTGGCCGGCGTGGATGGTGCCTTTGATGCATTCGCAGGAGGGGGCGTCCATTTGGATAGATTTTAAATGATTCAAGAGGAAACGATGTGAGTGTAGTGTGAGGGATGACTTGGAATATGATCGTGATAATAGAGTGAGGGAACAAACAGGAGGAAAAAGGATAGGGAATTGATTATATAGTATAGAAACTGACATCGGGTGGATCTCGCGTGGTTCTCGTCCTCTTCTCGGGGAGACAAATCGGGCTAGGCTGGATGATGCTGGATCTTATCCTTATCTGGACTTTCTCTGAACTTCCCCGAGAATCGCGCGATAAGCCAGCCATCCTCCGTCAGCAACAACACCAACCACAACACCAACAACACTACACCGTCATGCAACTGCACCATGTCGCCCACTGCGCTAACCCCCCAGTCGGTCTCCGAACTTCGCGCGAATGCATCAACATCAGTCACCCCCGCCAAACCGCGCAGCTGTCTGGTCTGTCGCCAGCGCAAGGTGCGCTGCGATAAACAGTCGCCTTGCTCCAACTGCCGTCGCGGTAAGATCGCCTGCATCTCGCCCTCCACCACCGACCATTCCCCGAGATGGGCTCGTCGCTTGAGAGAATCGTCATCAACTCACCCGATCGCTGCGACTGTTGCGAGAGACAATACTATGGGGGTAGATCAGCTGATGGATAGGGTGAACACACTGGAGAGCCTGGTCCAAGAGCTGAAGCACCAGTTGGGACAGCCCTTGTCCCCCGAGTCCTCTGATAAGGCCAGCGTGTCTGGCAGCCACTCACCCGGCAGCTCAACTCGCGAGGACCATGCGAGTGAATCCTCTTCCAAGGCGGGCACCAATAACGTTCACACCCAGCTCGGACGGCTGGTCCTGCAGGATGAGAGTCACAGCCGCTATGTGAGCAGCAGCTTCTGGTCCCGTGTTGACGATGAGGTGCGTTAGTGTCGGTGCTGCAGATTAACACGAGGCCTCCTCTAACGGGCACAAAGCTTAATGGGCTAAGAATGGCCACCAGCACCTTATTAGATGACGACTCCGACAGCCCAGACCACGAATCCCCCGGCCAACAACCGTCACTTTCCCAATCAGAACGGACGGCAGCAGAACGCCATGCATTCATTTTCGGACTGGATCTGAATTCCGCCAATCCAGACCTCCGCGAGCTTCACCCCTTGCCATCACAGGTTCCCTTCCTGCTGGAGACCTTTGCGGAGAATGTCAACTATTTCTTAGGGGTTGTGCATATGCCTACCGTTTCGAATGTGGTCCGCGACTGGCGCAAAAGTGGCATGAAGTCTCTCTCGCCCTCCAATGAGGCCCTACTCTTTGCAATCTACCATGCCACAATAGCCTCGATGGAAGACGAGGATGTAGGATCTCTCCCCTCGGTGCTGCCCCATGTCGGATGCTGACCAAAGCAGGTTATGACCAATTTTGGCGCCTCCAAGTACGAACTGAATCTCAAATATCGTCGAGGGCTGGAGCAGGCTCTTGCTAAATCCGATTTTCTGAATGCTCCCGACATCGTCCTTGTGCAAGCATTCACCATCTTCCTCTATCTCTCCCGTCGATACGATAGCCCTAGGTACATATGGATGATGACCGGGTTTGTGATTCGGATGGCTCACTACCTGGGTCTGCATCGCGACGGCGCTCACTTTGACCGCTTCACCCCGTATGAAGTTGAGCTGCGCCGCAGGGCGTGGTGGGGGGTGTGCCTGTTGGATATACGAGCCTCCGAAGATCAAGGGACAGATTTAACTATCATGCAAGGGAGCTTCGACACGAAGCTCCCCCTCAATATCAACGACAGTGACATCAACCCCGACACCAAAGAGACTCCTCGCGAGTGCAACGGCTTGACAGACATGTCCGTTCCCCGACTCTCGGCACACATGACTAATATCATGCGAGACATGATGAGCCGTGGGATTGCGAAAGGGGTCGAGGGCATGCAGGAGCAAAGCCGCTCGGTGGACGAGATCTATCGCAAGCTCGACGAAGAGTACCTGCAACACACGGCTGGGTCCACCAATATCGTATCCTGGGTCGCCGTTAACCTGATTCGCATGGTGATGGCCAAGATGACGCTGATCGTCTTCCTGCCTGTCCTGTTCTCTTCTCCCAGCGAGGAGCTGACAGAAGCGATCAGAACCAAGCTGCTGTGTGCGGCTATTGAAGTGGCAGAGTACAACCATGCGCTCAACGCGGAAAATTCCGGTCGCCACCTGCGCTGGCTATATCAAACGTGCACACACTGGCATGCAATCGTGTACCTGTTGATCGAGAGCTCGCGCCGTCCGTGGTCACCGTTCGTCGAACGGGCGTGGACCGCCCTGAACAGCAGCTGGTTGATTCCTGCGCCGTCGCCGGCCGTCGGAAGACGGGGCATTTGGGTTCCTCTCCGGAAGCTGATGGAAAAAGCGCGACGGCATCGTGACGCTGAGCTCACCCGACTGCGGTGCGATCAGGAGGCTGTTGCCAAACTTGAAGTCGAGGCCCAGAATGCTCTTACGCCCTCCAGCCCTGGACTCCTAGGCGCAGGACCCGTCAGCGAGGCTTACCGTCAGCGGTGGCGCCAGCTGGTTACTACATCAGTGGCGGACAACTCTTCGCCTGCGCTGGCTACCATCAATGAGGCGATACCATCTACCGATGCCGCAATTGCTGTCAATATCGCTAGTTCAGGATTGAGGATGCCGGATACGCACGGTGCCGCTCCTATGGGGCCCACGCCTGATCATTTGTACGGCGTGTCCGCTGCGGCTACAAATCCTGCTGTCAATCTTGCCTCCGTCCCTTGGACGTCAGCAGACGACATAATCCAGACTTTGGATATGGGTTTTGTGGATGCTAGCATGGATATCGATAGCGATATGGACTGGCACAACTGGATCGAGTCGGCGAAGGGTATGGAATCGGCTGCAGGAGATGGTCTTTCCTCACGGTGTACAGTTCGTGATTAAAGAGATGTGTAAAGCGACTTAACAAGGCTGAGGGTCATGATCTTCCAATTTCTTTCGAAGCACTACAAGGGCTGTTCTGGACATGATTGATGCTAGACAATCACGTGATTGTATCGGTCATTCCGTCAATGCCACACTATGCCATTCTGGGTAAGTGCCGGTATCCCATCGCTCTCCCATCGATTTCTGCTCTCTTTGCATATCATCTTGAGTCGACTCTTTTCACCTGCTACCTTAAATTGACGTTTACATCAAGTAACATATGAGAGGATATCTCATAATCACAGACTTTGCGATATACTAGAGTCTTTGTGTCAAGAGCGCCCGAGGAAGCACGTTTCCATCTGAGTTCCACCTTGAACCGGCCATTCAACTCATCTTCAGCCTACTTCTGTGACAGTCTGTATCACCTCTGATCTCAGCACGAGAACAATGGATCCAGAGTCCTTCTCTTGCTCGCATCCAGGCTGTGGACGAACCTACCGGCGAAAGGAACATCTTACACGACACCTCGCCAGCCATCTTCAACCTTCTGCCGCAGCTTGTCCATTCTGTGACAAGACCTTTTCTCGCAAGTAAGCATTCTTTCTAGGAGGGTCACTACAATGATAAAATTTTGACTGGTACGAAAACCATCAGCGACACCCTCCGTCACCACGTCCGACACAATCACCGCGACAAAAAACTGAATTCCTCCAGAGCTCTCAAGGCCTGCGATTACTGCCGGTCTCGCAGGACCCGCTGCGACGGAAGCGCCCCGTGCACACCTTGTCAGCAACGAGGGATACAATGCTCCCTGCAAAGCCATCAATCCATACGACCAGAGCTTGAATTCGATAACAACATCCCCAAATACTCATCTGCGTCGGCAGAGGCTTCTGAGATCTCAATTCCCCCACAAGACCCACCTGTGCCCGGCCAAGGCCCCATCGATATCGATCCCTACCTCGAAGCCTACTTCTCCAAATTCCACCCCATCTGGCCCTTTGTGCACCGTGCCACCTTCTACATGGTCCACGAACCCCCGTTCCTCCTGCAATCCATCACGATGATCGGCCTTTGGGTCACCGAAGACACGAAGTCACAGCAAGCTGCAGTTGAGCTGCACCAAAGGTTGAGCTTATCCATTTACGAGCAAAGAGTTCGTCGCCCCCTCGAAATTCATCCTCATCCGTTGCCAACAGTACTGATCAACCCAGGGAAGATGGCAAACCCCCGACCCATCCCCCAGCCACCAATCTTGGCCAATCGCCACCTACCAAGGCATCCTCCTCAACATCATTTTCGCACTGATCACCGCTCCCCCCAATCCCCTCGACCTGCAGCTCACCCGCAAACTGCCATCCCTTCAGTCAAAACTCCTGCTCGCGCTCATCAAAACCTGCCGCGAAAAGGACATGTTCTCGTACCACACGATGCGCGCCCAATTCGCACAGGACTCCGTGCCAGAGGTGTACATCTGGCTTGGCATTGAGGAAGTCAAGCGCTTCGCGCTGGCGCTGTACAGGGTTTGTAAGATGGTAGGAGTGGATGGGCATGAGCCTCAGGACCGTGCAACCGCGCCAAACCTTCTCTCGCTGGCGGAGCTGCGATTTGCGATGCCCGAGCGGGACGGTCTGTGGGACGTGGGCTCGGAACTAGCGGAGTGGCTGGCGAGGGAGAATGTGAGCGACTACGCGGAGAGGAATCGCGAGGCAGATTGGATTTCGACTGCTGCGCGGGTGCTTTGTCGGGAGGAGGTGGGGTTTGGCTTGGTTTGATTTCTTCAGCCTTCAACGGGGCGGTGGGCTTTCCATGAGCGCCAGTATATATTCAGGCCCAAATACTCAGCATAAACTATGTACCTCGATCGATGATATCAGTTGTTAAGGCGCTTGCACCCTCGCAAGGATCTCATATTCAGGCAGCTGTGGACCGGGGGGGGGGCATTATGTGTTTGTACTTCTGAGGGTGTACCGCAGCCCTTGTCACAGAATATTGCCGACAGCTGCAGGCCCACTAGACATGGTCAGGGCCGTTACTTGTCAGTCTTCGGCCGGGATTTTAAACTAATAGACCTGAATAAACACCCGAGTTGAGATCGTGCGCTAGCCACTGACATGATCGCAAATCTCTTATGGATATGTCTCCGAGTTTGGGACTGGTTGACGAGTGTTCTCACGACCTATATTCTACTTCTTCTCGTTTTGTTCTTTTAGCATCATAGGTTTGAATATTACAGACATAATCGGACTTGACAATGCGGTAGGTCAAGGTTTCGACAGGTACAACCTAGCCGAAACAACTCAGAACAGCACAAGCACAGAACCATGGGAGAGAATTTTTACTCTGAAGGCTGGACGAGTCTCTTCACTGCATGGGTCAGTCACTAGGCTAGACTACCGTCTCCACAGCAGTCATGCAAGTCCATGCCGGCTGGAACCGATGCGGACCACCACGAGGCATTCCACCTGAAGTGCCGTGTCTGTCTGTCTGTCTGCCTGCCTGTCACTTCTGCAGTGCCAAAATGCAAAGCTCCAGGCAAAGCGCGCAATGCCCCGGTTTGGGACGAGGCCCTGGCGCTAGTGACCAACACACCGACCCACTTCACGGGACTATCAGATGATTCTAGCCCCGGTAGGGGTCTTGGCAGGTGAAAAATTTTCTACCGCAGACCCTGTCCATACCTCAGTCTATAGACTACTTCGTGGAGAAGGGTGCTATCATCTATGTGATGGATCATGACATAGGCGTGGAACCTTGATCAGATTAGATGTACGAGGGACGAGACCTTTCAGGCCTGCCCACTGGTACTAGTTACATGGTACTCTGGGCACCATAATACTCTACATGTAAGATGGATCTAATCAGATGCTCCGAGCGATGAGTAATCGGCTTACAGAGTGTCCGGTCAGCTTTGCTCGAGTGGAGACGAAACCTTGGACTATGGTACAGTGGTGTACAGTGGTAGAATCAGCCGACATGATGGCTGAGAATTACCTAAAGCTGACCGAATCCCAGCCGATGGCTTTTGCCAGGTCCAAAACCGTCGAAATTATGTATTTGGCTGTAATCCTAGATCCGACATCGCAAAATCGTCACTTCACTGCCCAGCTGGAGTACCTCAAGCATCAATCCAGAGAGTGATGTATTGAGTTTCAACCAAGAACGCAGGGGAAGATCAGTGGCGCCGTGCGAGTCGCGGATCAGCGGTAATTGCAGGAAGGGTCTGGTGCCATTCGCCGCGTTTGCCGGGTGGGCCAAGGCCCTTTTCAAGCTATGGAGTCTAAGTGAGGTCGGAGATGTCCGTTCACGCAAAGCATGAGCAAATAAGCTATGTTGACCACGAGGAGAAGGGCGAGGGAAAATTCTGCATTGTGCATGGTTGGGTGCGATTCGCTCTGAGGGGAAAGTCGGTCCACCCGGACTTGGCCGGGATGCGGTGGGCAGCTGATTGGGTCGGGTCTTATCAGATCCATCCATTCCGATTATCTGATGCGCTTATCCTTGGGACGGGTTTTAAACCCACGCACTGTGGCGGCGCACTATGCCCACGGAAAGCTGGGCTGGCTGCATATACTCGTATTGCCACGACCCATGTCTCAGGTGGTCCAACAGGCAAAGTTGGGGGCTAAAGGCTAGCGTGCAGGTGCAACCACCCAAAACCCCGGCTAAGAAAGTCAAGCAAGTCAAGCAAGTCAAGAAAAGGCAAGAAAAGGCAAGCCAGTCTAAGGCTGTGGAAGGCAAACTCCCACTAGCGCCGATTCCTTACCACCGCAACACACTTTGCGCAACTACGAACAACTACTTGAGTAGAACTTATAAACTGGCCTGATCCCCTTCCCTTCTTCCTCCCTTCTTTCCTTGTTGATCCTCACCCCTTTCGTCTCTTCTTACCACCCCTCCCCCCCACCCCGCAACCCCTCACCATGGGTATTGTTACCGACCGCCTCCGTGGTCGCAAAACCAACCATGTCGTCGAGGACTTGGGTCCCGTCGATGATCATGCTTCCCAGGAGACTCCCTCCGAGGAACTGGCGCGTGCCGAGAAGGAGGCCCAAGAACACCCCCAGGAGGTTACTCGAGATGCCCCCATCGGTGTCAAGAAGGCCGAGGCTGCCGCTCTTGTTTGGACTAAGAAGGCTATCATCATCACTTACGCCTGGTAAGCCGTTTCTGAATCGAAGGAGGTTATTATTTTGTTGCTGGCCTGGCTGACCAAATCGCCTGCTAGGATCTGGGTGTGTTATTTCATGTTGGCCCTGCACGAGTACATCGGCAGCAATGTCCTCTACTACGCCTACTCCAACTTCCAGAGCGCATCCCAGGTGACCACCGCCTACATCCTGGCAACTATCATCGGTGGTGTGTTGAAGTTACCGATCGGAAAACTGCTCGGACTGTGGGGACGTGCCGAGGGTCTTATGGTGTTCCTGGCTGTCTACATCGTAGGGATGATCATTCTCGCCGCGTGTAATGGTCCCAACAGCTTTGCGGCTGGCTATGTCTTCTACTGGATTGGGTACGATGCCATCTACCTGATTCTTGAGATCTACATCGCCGATACCTCGGGTCTCCGCAACCGTGCTTTCGCCTTCGCCTTCTCGACCACTCCGTTCATCTGCTGCGCCTTCACTGGTTCGTTGGCGGCCAACTCGTTTGTGAAGACCTCCGGCTGGCGGTGGGCGTACGGCGCCTTCGCCATCGTGCAGCCCTTTGTCTTTGCCCCGTTGATCTATATCTTCAAGTACTACGAGCGCAAGGCGTACAAGCAGGGACTGTTGACCCGCGAGTCCAGCGGTCGCACCACCCTGCAAACGATCGTCCACTACGTACATGAATTCGATGGTGAGTTTCTTGCCGTGTGCTGGCTTACCCGACCAACATTCCGCGTCTTCGACCATAACTAACAGGATGCATCAGTGATCGGCGCGCTTATCCTAATGGCGGCCTTCGTCCTCTTCCTGCTGCCGTTCAGCCTGGCCAGCTATGGGCGAACCGAGTACCACAACGCCGCCTTCATCGCCGAAGTAGTGGTCGGATTCTGCCTGTTCTTCGTCTTCGCGGCGTGGGAGAAATGGGGGGCGCGGGTGCACTTCATTCCCTACGAGCACCTGCGCGACCGCACCGTGATCGGCGCATGCATGCTGGCCACCGTCCTCTACTTCAGCTTCTATTTGTGGGACAGCTACTTCTATTACTTCCTCATGGTGGTGTACGACCTCAGCATCACGCACACCGGCTACATGACCTCGATCTACACCGTGGGCTCCTGCCTCTGGTCGCCTGTGTTCGGGCTATGGATCCGCACCACCAAGGAATTCAAGTATTCGACCCTGTTCTTCGCGGTGCCGCTGATGATTCTGGGCGCGGGCCTGATGATCCACTTCCGCGGTCAGGATGCGGATATTGGCTACATTATCATGTGCCAGATCTTCATCGCCTTTTCCGGCGGAATGATGGTCATCAGCTTCCAGATGGCGGTGATGTGCGCCTCCTCGCGCGAGAATATCCCCATCATGCTGTCCATCGTCAGTCTCTTCACCAGCATCGGCGGTGCCATTGGCGCGGCCGTCTCCGCTTCGATCTACAGCAACACCTTCCGGGATGGTCTGAAGAGCGCCCTTCCTGCCAGTGCTCAAGCCGACCTGGAGACGCTGATTGCCGGTGGGTACCTGACGCAGATGAAGTACGCTCCTGGCACGGAGGTGCGCGATGCCATCAACTACGCTTGGGGCTACATGGAGAAGTATCAGGCGATCGCGGCCACGGCGATCTTGGTGTTGGCGTTCCCGTCTGTCATCATGTGGAGGCACTACAATGTCGATAAGAAGCAGAACAAGGGAACGATGCTGTGAGCTGCTTATTTGACATGCTGAGGGGAGTGGGATTGGGGGCGGGGGGCTGACTGGTGTTTACGATAATGTCTTTTTAATACCCTAATATGCTGGATGGTTCGAAAAGTTCCGATGTTTCTGTTGCGGTTACCAAATCTTCTAAACTACAATATCTAATTCATATCCTGTGCTGACTTTTGAAGAGTCGAACTTTGGTCCTTACACTCCACCTCCCGAGTGCGTAAGATATATTTCCGAGCATCCACTCATAATGCCCTGCAATGACCCATCCTGAGAATCGTTCAGTGGAAGAATTCCCAGTTAACGACGCGAAGTGGAAGAGACAAACAACAACTCCACGTCGGCATTCCAAATCCACAGCCATGGCAACGGTACAGCGGGGGGCATACCTTGCCCCGACTACAGTGCCCCAGAACTGATAGGAGGATTGTATCGAACCCGCATTCTTCGGAAGACACAGCCGAGAAAAAGCAGTGATTTTTCCTGGTTCGAAGAATGCAGGCTAGCCGCTATCGATGGCCAGTCCCTGGACCGCTGTACCAATGTCTCACTCGCTGTCCAGCCGTAGATCAAGACACAGCTTCGTAGGTTCCTAGATCCAACTCTGCCGGATGCATGCCCCTGATTCCTTCCTTCGCTGCTCACCTCCCTCCTGACCTATACTCACCCAGCCTGTTTCCCTCTCACCATCCACAATGAGACACCCCATTATCCTCAGCTTTCTAACCCTAGCGACAGCCAGTCAACCGCCCCGCCCCGGCCCAGCCGTCGACTCCAACCTCTACGGCGGTGATTGCACGCGCGAGCGGCTCCAGACCCGCAAGGAATGGCGCAATCTCGACCGCTCGCAGCAGGAGGCCTACCTGGACGCGGTGCAATGCCTGATCGATCTGCCCGGGGAGACGGGGATGGCCTACACGACGAGCCGATGGAGCGATCTGCAGGCGCTGCATCGGTACTACACCAACACCGAGTACGGCGATGTGATCCATAACGTGGTGCGTACCTTCCAGCCACCGGATATACTCACATCACTGAGGTGAAGAACTGGCCAGGGCCAATTCCTCCCCTGGCATAGATACCTGCTGCACATCCACGAGACACTCCTTCGGACGGAGTGCGGGTACGAGGGTCCGATGGTGTACGCCCCCTTCTCCCTACCTTATACATCTATACATCTCCCGCGCCCACTAAATGACTGGTGGATAGATGGTGGAACGAACAAGCCGACGCCGACACAGGGGACCTGTTCCGCTCGCCGATGTGGCACGACGATTCCCTCGGGGGCGACGGCACGGAGCCCGCCAACTGCGTGGCGGACGGACGCTTCGCCGATCTGACGCAGTACATCGGGCCGTACGACAACAACACGGAACGGTGTCTGGAGCGCGAGTGGGATTCCGCCTTGGGAGTTCGAAATGTCAACAGCACGATGGTGGGCCAGTGCTTCGATCTGGCCGGCTACACGCCCTTCTGGCAGTGCGTGGCCTCGTATCCGCACAAGGGGGTGCATCAGGCTGTTGGGGGCTTGGTGCGTTGTCTTCCTTTTTCTTGTAGTGGGGGATATCGGGTTTGGGAAGGTGAAGACGATACTGACGCTGATATTGTGGACTGTAGATGGCAGACGTCAAGGCCTCCCCCGGCGACCCGATGTTCTACATCCACCACGCCTTCATCGACCGCCTGTGGTATACCTGGCAGATGGTCGACCCGGACTCCCGACTGTTCGCGATGGGTGGGACCTCGGTCAATGCCACGGATCTGCCTACGCCGGCGGAGGGTTGGCCGGAAACGACGCTGGAGTATGAGCTGGAGTCGTATGGGATCTTGCCGGGGGTCACGGTGGAGGATGTGATGAATCCGGTGGGCGGGTATTTGTGTTATGAGTATGATTGAGCGTTGTTGCTGCTGCTGCTGCTGCTTGGCGATGGTTAGTGTGGCGTAGTTAGTCCGGACCACTTTTGTTGAAAAGCAGGCGTGCTGCTGTGCTTCTCAGGTATCAATTTGAGAGGCGTTGGCGTTAGATTGGAGTGTAGTTTCTGTGGGAAGGCTGCTTTTGTCAGGCAATGGGCGTGGGGCCTTTGCTTGATGGAAGATAGCGTCGGACTACCATGTCGGATTTTGATGCCGGATTGATATGCGGAGGTGCCTGTCCCGGCAGAACAATATGGTGGTTTGTGAAGCATAAGTGGATTGGTGCATCTTGCCGAATCATGCTTGATTGTCTTTCTCGGTCCTCGGAGATATGCATCAAACTGCATTGCATGATCGGCCGGGGGTAAGAAGCGATGCCGGTAGCGGGCCGGTACAGGCAGGCGTCATGCAGGCCGGCATCGGGAGATGTACGCACTCTCCAGTACGGACGCACAATCTATATAGCATCGTCAACCCGCCTCTTAAAATAACTTCTAGATCAGAATAGAAGCATATCAGCATACCAGCATACCAGCATGATCACCTCCAAATCTGCCCCTCAAGAGCAACCGGTCACCGCAGACCTCTGCGACTGGGTCACATCCCTTCAAGCCTCTGATATCCCCACCCATGTGCTCCAACGCGCAAAACATCTCATCCTCGACGGCATAGCCTGCGGATTAGTAGGCGCGCACGTTCCGTGGTCGGAGAAGTGCATCGATGCCATCGACGACTACGAGCCTGCCGGCTACTGCAGTGTGCTGGACTCCAACAAGGTCTGACCCTTGTCCCCAGCTTCCACCGAGTATCGAACACTCATGCACATCAGAAATACGGACCCCTCGCCGCCGCCATCCTCAACGGGGCATTCATCCAAGCCGTCGAGCTAGACGACTACCACAGCGCCGCCCCGCTCCACTCGGCCAGCGTCATCCTCCCAGCCCTCTTCGCCGCAGCCGAGGTCCAATCGCACGGTAGCCAAAAGCAGCCCCGACGAGTCGTCTCGGGCCTCGAACTCCTCACCGCAGCAATCGTGGGCTTCGAAACCGGGCCCCGCGCCGGCGCCGCCATGTACGGGGCCGAGCTCCTCTCACGCGGCTGGCACTCGGGCCCGATCTTCGGCTGCCCCGCCGCCGCCGCCGCCGCCGCGAAACTCCTAAACCTCGACAGCGCAGCCACCGAGTCAGCCATCGGCATCGCATGCACGCAGGCCGGCGGGCTGATGGCGGCCCAGTACGAGGGGATGATCAAGCGGGTGCAGCATGCGTTCGCGGCGCGCAACGGGCTGTTCGGGGCGCTGCTGGCGCGGAACGGCTACCTGGGTATCCGGAAGGTGTTCGAGCGGCCCTACGGCGGGTTTCTGGCCATGTTCAGCCAGGGCAACGGGCGCGAGCCGCCCTACCAGCCTGAAAAGGTGACCGCGGGGCTGGGGCGGGTCTGGCAGACCACCCACATCCGGGTGAAGTTGCATGCCTGTGTTGGGGGTTGTCACGGGCAGGTCGAGGCGTTGGAGCGGCTGCAGGAGACGTATCCGGATCGGTTCGCCCTGGAGAATTTGCAGCGTATTCGGAGTATCCGGGTAGCGCTGTCGGAGCCGGTCTTCGCGCATGATGGCTGGGTGCCCGCTGAGCGGCCGCTCACGGCCACAGGGGCCCAGATGAACGCGGCGTACATCGGGGCGACGCAGCTGGTGTACGGACAGGTGCTGCTGGAGCAGTTCGACGCGGCGGCGTTGGACGATGATCGCGTCTGGGAGTTGATTCGCAAAACGACTTGCGTCCGTGACGAGGAGTTTGACCGGCCTAACCATCTCTGCGGAGCAAGGGTGGTTGTGGAATTCGCGGACGGGGTGATGGTGGAGGAGACCGTGGCCATGCCCCGGGGGTTTGACCCGCCAATCACTGACGAGGAGATTCGCGAGAAATGGCGCAGGCTGGCGCGGACGGTGGGTGATGACGCTCGCATGCAACGGCTGGAGGAGGCTGTGCTTTCGTTGGAGGACTCGGAGGATGTCTCTGACCTCTTCGCCCTGATTCGGGGATGATGCAGCGTGCAAGAAATTTCACTGTGTCTGTTTCTCGTTATTTTCTTTCGGTTGTGCTTTTTGCTTTTGTGTATAATGAACAGAAACGAAGGTTCCTAGATTGTGTGTCCTTCTAGCGCTCTATATATAGTTCTGGGAATATGGATGAAGTGCCAGCGCCGATCTATTGCCTATTGGAAATGCCAATGCTGTAGCCATGCAGACAGCCGAGTCTCAGAGATCGACGTCTTCGAACTCCTGGGCCGTCACCAAGGCATAATCCCGTGCTACCGAATCTCCCAGTATGGCATCGAGCTGGCCCCAGCGCCGAGCGCAAGGGGATCTCGAGTCCCATCCCAACGAGTATCCTGAGCGGGAGAATGCCTTGAAGCTAAGGTGGATTGCAAGCTTGATCGAGTCTTTCGTATATATACACTCCTGCAAAGTCTTCGTGGATGACGTTGCTCTCCGCAATATCTTGGTTCTGAACGAGGAGCTCAAAGCAGCCGACTTTGGACAGTCAATCCTGCTACCCCGCGACGCTGATATGGGTTCGATCACGGAAAATGATCTGAATGCCAAGATCGAGATCCTCCATCTGGGTTGGGTTATCTACTCCATCGCGGCCTGGCAGGTTCATAAATACTATTTCTGCAGTGCCGAGAACCCAGAGCTCTGTTGGCCTGCCTCCTTTCCAGATGTTGAGGGTGTGCTATGTGGATCGATCATTGCGAAGTGTTGGCAGGGAAAGTATTCAAGTATGGACCAGCTGAAGGACGAGGCTCACCTTTTGCTCGCGGGTTATTAAATGTCCTTGCTCCTCAATGTCCGGACGAGATTCTTTCATTGTTCAACGCAACCATTATGTTTCGTCCATGGCTTTGATCGAGAGATCGGCAGTAGTATCGCCCAAATATCTCTTGTCGCAGCTCTTTGGGTTAAACCGCCACTGCAGATTGGGCTAGAGTCACACTGGAGCGTGCCAACCGGGCTCGAATCTTGAGCATGATGCAGCCGGCAGCGCGTGCTATTTTGATAGGGCTACCTACTCAATCGACCTACACGATTTGCTCCATTACTCTAAATGCTCCCGGATTATAGAGATTCTTCTATGGATATATCAGAATCACCTCGTATTATGCTAAACAGTCATATACCTTGGAGGTCATGTGATATGATGTCATACCACGTGAAGCATCACCACCATTGCAGCATAACACGAATGGTATCTGCTCGCGGTAACTGATTCGTGGTCTTGCTGTTGTATGTGAGTCATAGACCTGAGCTTATTAGGTTTAGCTATTTCAACGGCTATCAACCCGTTTCGTGTTGATTCTATCTGACCTTGGACTTCATCTACATCACATCCAACTTAATACCTCTCAGCGAACTATATAGTGAAGAGTTCTTAACAATGAACCTACTATTGATCAGTAATCTATTCATATATGCATTGCTACCTAGTTCCTACGGATACCCAGAAATGGTGACAGAATTCCAAATTGCTCAGTGCGGTGGTTACTGCACCTGGAAGCATCCCTGGTGCCCCGCCGGCTGTTATTGCGACGAGGCCCTCAATATATGCAAACCCAAGATCTACGAGTCAATCAACGACCTCTGATGAGTTGCTCATCATCTATCATGGTATCTCTGGATACAGCTTGCGGCAACTAAAGTCCTCACAAATGATACTGGTGGTGGCATACCACTCATCCATGTCAATCAAGCCTTGTACCTTCAAGTCGGTCATCATATCAGACACATGTTCTACTTAAATTGCGGTGTTCATGTTCGTATGCTAAAATATTGTCGCCTCTTTAACACACGTACGAGTCAGTATTACCCATAGCCTCCAGTCCCTTCTGGGCTATACTTTCGAATCGATCCCTCCGAAAATATCATCTATATAGTATGAGGTTGCATTAGGGCTCCGATGTAATAGATATTTTCGACGAATTACACAAAACCAACACTTAGGCTGTCCAGCCATGATGCAGCATAAACAATGCAAGAGTGCCGTCCACACAAGCGCGTCCCCATCGACCCCACCAGTGGCAGGAGGCTACAATCCAGATCATTCACCTAATATTAGATCCCCTTCCTTGCCAAAAAGTCAAGGATCAACCCCCCGATGTCCGCCGTCTCCGTCTCTACCGCAAAGTGGCCCGCATCCAACAGATGCACCTCCGCCTCGGGCAAGTCGGCCTTGAACGCCTCGGCTCCCGCCGGCACAAAGATCTGATCATGCTTGCCCCAGACCGCCAGCAGGGGCACCTGCGACGCGCGGAAGTACCGGTGGAACTCCGGGTACAGCGGGAGATTTGTGCGGTAGTCATAGAACAGATCCAGCTGGATGTCCGCGTTGCCCGGACGCTGGAGCAGGGCATAGTCCAGCGAGTAGGACTCGGGCGCCACGACGCGGTCCGCGGCCGTCCCCTCCTCGTACTGCCACTTGGTGGCGGCGAGACTCAGCAGGCCTGCCGCGAGTTTTCCTCGGACGGCCGCATCGTTGTCGCTGGTCCAGAGCGCCCGGATCTGGTCCCAGAAGGCGCCCAGCCCGGCCTCGTAGGCGTTGCCGTTCTGCGTGATGATGGCCAGGATGGCGGCCGGCTGTTGCAGCGCCAAGCGCAGACCGACGGGGGCGCCGTAGTCGAAGATGTAGATGGAGTACTGGCGGATGGCGAGGCGGTCGAGAAACTCCGCGATGACGGTGGCAAGCGCGTCAAAAGTGTACGCAAACCCCTCGGGAACCTCAGTGAAGCCGAAGCCCGGTAGATCGGGCGCGATGACCCGGTATTTTGCGGCCAGGATTGGGATGAGGTTGCGGTACTGGTGCGAGGATGAGGGGAAGCCGTGCAGGAGGAGGATGACCGGGGCTGACGCTGCTCCTGCTTCGCGGTAGAAGACATGGGCTTTGGAGGTGGAGAGCTCGAGTTTCTTCAGCTGAGTGCTCGCCATGGCTCAGAAACTATGATAGATAGGATGGAAATAACAGAAAGTGCAGGTTGTGAATTGATAAGGGACATGAGGTGGGGTCAATCTGACACCATATACCCCGCCATCTTGGGCGTACCGAACACGCTCTAGAACCTTGAGCCCGGGGAGAACTGGATGACGACTTATTTGTCAGCATACTAGTCACTCTCTTTGTCACTGGCCTCGTATCTGAGATCAACAAGTGTTTTCAACTGCAAAGACGTCTCCTGCCTGTCAGCTCATTCATGCTTAGGGCTTCTTGGCAGATTTTCTAGCGGCGGGAGCTTCACCCAATCAGCAGGAGGGAGATATTACCTTTTCCGGTTAATGATCTTATCGTCAAACGGTTTATCCAAACCCCTTCTACGGTCACAAATTCATCCGCCAACAGATCGAGTGGTGTAGACTACGACCAACATCCACAGAGAGAGTAATGTCAGAGCAACATGGCCTCTGATGGGAGAGCAGCCTACCCGTACACTTTCGTACACGGCCCGACGATACGAGGAACCACAAGCAACGCCTCGCTGATTCGCTCGCAGCTGATGCGTCGCCGACATTGTGAGAGAGCAAAGAAGGTACACAGCAGTCTTCATGCCCAATGTATCACGCCGGGTTTGCTCGTCTGCCTATGCACCGAGGAGGTGCTTGCAGATAGTCTAGAGGTTGCGCGAGCCAGGACGCCTACTGATCAGGCTTGCACGTCTCGATATCCACGAGCTCTTCAACCAAGGCCTCTTTTTGACACAGGCCTTAATGCCACAATATGTCTCAAATGCGCTGGTGTCAGGTCTGGTCACGGGCGACTTCCTGCTATCACCAAACCCTGGGCGTCCGGCAACAGCCAGATCGATCCCTTCCTCGCAGATCGTTACCAAAAAACCCCTCATTTCAATCTCCTTCTCCACCACTGTAGGTCATACTTTCATAGCGAGGACGTGGCAGCCCGCTAACCCTGCATGAGGCATCCATGTGCTGTGGCCAATGGCCCGCCCCTGCGAATTTGCCGAGCGCAGTTTGCAGGCCTACCTGCACCCCACCAGAAGCCCGATGGTCGTGCAATCGATGCTGTACTCGGCCTCCCTCCACTTCAACGCCCTCCCAATGATACGGGGCGCCACCAAGCAGGTCTCGTTGGACACGGCAGAGCAACTCCGACTCAAAGGATCCGTTATGGTCCGTATCCGGGAGAAGCTGTCGACCGTCACTCAACACAACATCAGTTGCGACTGGGTCGACGACATCCTGCTGAGCATCTTGTACCTCGCCGCCAATGAGAACCTCGACCATGTCGAGCCACCGGACACGACCCCATTTGTCCCGCCCTTTCGCAGCCTGCAGCTCATGGAATTTTACGGCAGCTGCGAGTTCCACCCGCTCCACTGGCAGACTGTCCAGCATATCGTTCTCGAGCGGGGAGGTCTCGAGACGGTAAAGCTGTACGGACTGGCCTGGCTGATTTCTATGTTCGTTTCTCATTCCGTCTCCCCCTTGAACCCATGCTAATAAATGAGACCATTTTCCAGATCGGGCCTGATCATCGCGATAAACACACACCGCAAACCCGTCTTCCCACTTATATCCCCTGAGGGGAAACCCTGCTTACACCGCGCTCCCCTGCAAGCCCTCTCCATCCGCACGCTACCGCGTCATTCCACGCTCCGCAACCATGGCTTCCAGCAGCTTGCCCTGCTGTCCCCACCAGTCAAGGGCAACATCATTCGCGTTTTTTTGGACTTAAACGAGATCACCCACGCCCTGCATATTCTCAGTAGCCAGACCTGCGGCGCCACCCTGCTGACGCAGATAGGTGATACGCGGGCCAGCGTCCTGCATCGGCTGTGCAGTCTGCCTGATCACAGGGACCGGGCCAGCGCCATCCTGCATAAGAGACCGGGATGTACGGCGGAGGACCAGGGACGATCGATTGCCGTGTACCTTATGTGTCGGAGTACAGCCCTCCTCTATGGCGCAAGCGTGGTCCTGCCTCTTCCGAAAATGTCACGGTTGCGGGCTACGCTGACGAAGGAGATACAGGAGGATATGGTTCGGCTGCAGCAACGCGAGATAGCAAACCATAGATGTGAGATATTTCTGTGGTGTTGCATGGTGGCGGGGATCTGTGCGGATGCTACTCCGTCGATCAGGGATTGGTTTGTAGCTAGGATGAGGGAGTATTGTAGTGTGCTTGGGATTGACTCTTGGGATGGCCTTCTACAAATTCTGCAGTCGTTCGCCTGGCTGGACGGTGCATCAGAGGAGGCTGGAAGGGCGATTTGGGCGGAAATGGCTACATCTAGTAGTGAATTATCATACAAATGTTAGGGAGAATAACGAAGAGATTTTGGCTTAATAATGAGTCGACAGCCATGCGGAGGACATTTGATAACAGTAGCTCCAAGCCATCTTTTTGATACGACCAGCCCCCGCCGGACCCTATCATGTCGGGCTTACAAACCCAATTGGCACCGGCCTGCAACGATACGGCGAATTATGAATGCGAAGGAACGATATTCATCAGCACATGGCGCCTTTTGAGCGACATTGCATGCTACAGAGATATTAGTTCATCTGGCCTGTATAACCGGATTGATAAGCAGCAGGAAACGAGCCACTACCATGCCATCGTGGTGCCGGGCATATTCCGCACGGTATTTAAAGCCCTAACCACCCCATCCCGCCATTCCCATCCCAGACTCCCCTAGTGGCAAACCCCCCATCAACACCCAAACCCAAACCCCAACCACAACACCTCAAAATGGGCTCCTGCAGCCCCTCCCCCCTGCAAGCCCCCTTCACCAGCCCCGCCCTCACTCTCACCCACCGCGTCGTCCTCGCCCCAATGACCCGCATGCGCGCCTCCAACACTACAGGCCTCATCAACCCCACGGCAGCAACCTACTACGCCGAGCGCACCAGCCAGCCGGGAGCCCTCCTCATCTCCGAGGGAGTAACCATCCACCCGCGGGGCAAGGGCTTCCCACGCACCCCGGGGCTCTGGACAGACGGGCACGCCCGGGCCTGGCAACCCATCACGGCGGCCGTGCACGCGCGCGGGGGGACCTTCTTCGCGCAGCTCTGGCACGTGGGCCGCGTCTCCGTGCCGCGTCTCTCCCACGGCCAGCCGCCGCTGAGTTCCACGACCGCCCATCTACCGGGGTACCATGTCTCGTTCGGGGCGGGGCCCGACGAAGCTGAGCGCGAGCCATACGTTCCCTCCCATGCGATGACGATCCCCGAGATCCATGAGGTGGTGGCGCAGTTTGCTGCGGCGGCGCGGCGCGCGATCGAGGTCGCGGGATTCGACGGGGTCGAGATCCACGCGGCGAACGGGTATTTGCTTGATTGCTTTGTGCATGATAATATCAACACGCGAGGGGATGAGTTTGGTGGGCCGGCGGTAAGCAATCGGCTGCGGTTCCCCTTGGCGGTGGTGGACGCGGTGGTGGATGCGGTGGGGGCGCGGCGCACGGCGGTCCGGCTGGCGCCGTTTCATGTGCTCCAGGGCACCGGGGATGGAGATCAGGTGGCTACGTTTGGGGCGTTTGCGGCCGCGCTGGAGGCGAGGGGGTTGGCGTATGTGCATTTCGTAGAGCCGCGGTATGACTTGGGGAGTTCGGAGGGGGCGTTCGCGGGGTGTATTGCACGGGAAAAGAGGGTGGATGAGGGAGAGGAGAGGTCGATTTGGCCGTTTCGGAGGATTCTGCAGACTACGCCGGTTATTGGGGCTGGTGGGTATGATGCTGTCTCTGCTGCGCAGGCTATAGAGGAAGGTGAGTGTGGCCCAGTTGGCGTGGATGAGTTAGGGTTCCGCTTGGCTGACGCGGCAGTGACTGCAGGTCGCATCGACCTCGCGGCCTTCGGGCGGTATTTCACGTCCAACCCCGATTTGCCGGAGCGGCTGTTTAGGGGACTGCCCTTGACCAAGTACCATCGACCTACCTTCTATACTTCCGGAGAGGAGGGATATCTGGGATGGCCGCAGTGGAGTGAGAAGTAGACTAGGAGGAGGCGAGGCGGAGAAGTCCTGTAGAAAAGTCGCCGATGCTTGCCAGTTGACCAACCCTGAACTATAACTGAAAGTTGATTATAAATCCACAACAAGCACATATAAGCCAGTCACTCCTCCACGTTGGTTTTACCAACATAGTTCCTCAGTCAAGTCACTACACAGCCATCATGTCCTTCACCCCCAAGAACATCCTAGTCATCGGCGCCGGGGAACTAGGCATGCAAGTCCTCCGCTCGCTCGCCACGCACCCCAACCGCGGCGCCACGCAACTCACCGTCCTCCTCCGCCCCTCGCGCATCGCTTCCCCCAACGACGAACTCACCACCACCCTGCACACCCTGAACATCGACTCTCTCCCCAGCGACATTGCCACAGACCCGGAGCCTCACCTGATGCAGCTCTTCCGAAATTACGACACCATCATCAGCTGCACGGGTTTCGCCGCCGGAGCCGGCGTGCAGCTCAAGCTCGCCCGCGCCGTCCTCGCCGCGCAGGTCCCGCGCTACATCCCCTGGCAATTTGGGGTCGACTACGACGTGATCGGCCGGGGATCGGCGCAGGAGCTCTTCGACGAGCAGCTGGACGTGCGGGCGTTGCTCCGCTCGCAGACTGCGACGCAATGGGTGATCGTGTCGACGGGTATGTTCACCAGCTTTCTCTTTGATGCGGGGTTCGGGGTGGTGGATGCCCGTGCGGGGGTTGTGCGGGCGCTGGGGAGCTGGGAGAATCGGGTGACGGTCACGGCCGTGGAAGATATTGGGAGGTTTACGGCGGAGGTGGTGCTCGGGGGGTCTTGGGGAGGGGTGGTTGGGAATCAGGTGCTGAAGGTGGCGGGGGATACCTTGAGTTACGGGGAGTTAGCGGGGCTGGTGGAGAGGGTTACTGGCAGGGAATTCAAGCGGGAGGTGAGGACAGTGGAGGCTGCGCGGGCGGATTTGAAGAAGGAGCCTGGCAATGGGTTGTTCAAGTACCAGGTTGTGTTTGGGGAGGGGAGGGGCGTCGCGTGGGATTTGCAGGAGACGTGGAATTACCAGGTGGGGTTGCGGGCGTTGACGGCGGAGGAGTGGGCGAGGAAGTATTGGGTAGAGTAGGGGCTTCTGCTGGTGGGTTAATTTCTATTTTGCTGACTGCATGTACAATGGCTTCTTGATAGCTATCAAATATCAAAGATTGGAAAGTGTTCCTTATTAGGATGTATTCTCATTCAACCTGACGGCATATAGTAGCGCAGCCAGGAAGACAGATATCTTCAGCCTCATCTAAACATTCCTATTTAATCGCTGATGAGAATAGCTTGAACATGCAGGAAATCATCACCACCATCATCATCATCATCCTTCAAACCTGAACCCCTCCATCTTGGCACTTGGCAGTCAACCTCCTCGCCAAGTCCTCAGCAACGGAACCCTAACCCCAACCGGCAAAATCCCGACGGGACGCCGTCGATCAGCCCATTTTCTCCGTCTTCGTCCTCATCTCCATCCCCATCCCCACCCCCATCCCCGCAACAACCCTCGACTCTACACTCCATACTGTGCAACAAGAGCATCATACTGCCCCTTGGTCACCAGCACCACATTCCCATGCTTCAACCCCGACGGAAACCCCGTGCGATCCGAGGCCACCCACTCCGCCGCGGCAACATCCGTACTCTCGAACGGCACATACTCGACATAATTATCCAGCAGCAGATGGAACTTGTCGGCGTCCTGAATATCCGGAAACGCCGCGGGGCCCTCATACACCACCCCATCCTGAATATACCCCTCCGCGCGGGTCCACTCGCCGAACAGGCCCCCCGTGGTGGTCTCCTGGTAGACGTGGAGGACGTTCTCATCCTTGAGGAACCGCGCGTAGTGGCCGGGTGCGTCCCCGAGGGCCAGGAACTCCTGGTCGATGAGGGGGATGTTCTCGCTGTCCAGGGCGAGGTAGTCGGCCGGCGGGGCGAAGGTCACGAAGTCGGTGGTGGTGGTGTAGCGGATGCGGTCGAGGGTGGCCGTGCCGGTGTGGTTGGTGTCGGTGGGGTCGTAGAGACGCGACGACCAGAAGAGGTAGTATTGGCTTTCGGTCGTGTTCCAAACCACTGAAGGGGCCCAGGCCATGCCGGCGGTTGCGTCTTCGATGCTGGATGGTGCATGTTAGCGAGTGTGTTGGAAATGCCGGTCTCGCGTGGGATGGCCTACATTGCCAAGGAAGGCTCAGACCAGTCGATCAGATCCTCCGATCGCCACACAGTCAAGCCTCGACTGCCCCGGCGCGTGGCCTCGTCCCAGGAAAATCCTTCTGCGTTGATATCCAGGTCTACACCCGTTAGTCACGGTTGTTTCGTGGTGGTGCACCTTCTTGGGATGTGTGGACGGGGATACGCACCAGTGGCAATGACAAAATACTCTGACTTCTCCTGGTTGGCCGTGAGGAACACATCCCTGACAGCCTTGGTCCCGACGGTCGATTCTAGCACCGAACTGCCGCCATTGAGTGCCTTGAATGCCAGAGGATCGTCGGCAGAAGACAGGTACCAGAAGACCCGCGGGTCGGCGTCCGTGAATGTGGAAAGCAGATAGCCGTAGTATGAATCGTCCTGACGTGGTAGTACAGCGCCTGTGACGGCAGCCACAAGAGCTGTAGCCGAGAGAAGGGAGGAGATGTGCATTGCTGAGGTAGGTGACTTTGATTATGGCCTGTGACAGGGCTTGAGGCGGGAGACCGGCCTTATTTATGCAGTTCGTCGACTCCAGCATTTCCCCACGGGGCCAGATGGATTTGCCAAGAACACTACAATCAAGGTAGCCAGCGGAGAATTCATGGAATGTTCACGCAGGATTTCTCCACCGGAGTTGGAACTGAAGCTTGGCGATCGAAGCATCTCCGCACGAGGCCGACCTATCTGACTCTAAGAGGTACTGTAACTGATTAACATCCAGTTGCATATAACACAAGCTTGCCAGGTGCCATACTACTCATATTTGTCTTTGAATTTAGCCGTTCGATGCTAAGCTACATGGCCTGGATTCCCGTCCAAGCATTCCGAATCCTCGCTGACTGCGATAGCAAATCCGCAGTCGAAGTCATTTTTTGTCTTTGTTCTTCAAATTTGGAACCCCGAAAAACACCACCTGCACAGTAATATCATCACGCAGAGTCCGGGAAAACGGAGGGTCAAAGGCCAATCTCCCTTTTAACAACTCGAGATCGCTGCCACCAAGGCAATTACGCACCAGGTGCACCGCCACATTGTCATCCTGCACTGTCGTTCGGCCCTCCACAAACTTCCAGTTGACGCTTTCCCAGAAATGACCAAAATCGAAGGGTTTGTCGGAGGCTGCGGGGGATGTGGAGCTGCCCTTCCCCGTCTCCGCGCCTCCCGACAGCCATTTCCCGACCAGTTCGACCGCCTGCTGACTGGAGAGCATATCCCACAGACCATCCGTCGCCATAATCAGGAACGAAGGCTGTGCCGGATCAATGTTGACGGTGGTAACGACCGGCTGGGCAGTCACATAGGGCGGGGTGCGAATGTCGTAGCGGGGGGTCAGCGGTGCGGGGCCGTAAAATCGTTGGCGGATTTCCTGCTGGAACTCCACCGGCCATTTCCACCGACAATCCCCAAACGCCCGGGAGGCCATCAGTCCCAGTACGCGTCCACCTTGAACAATGTCTTCCTCGCCCGGGTGCTCGCTATAAATTCGGGCAATCTCCTCTTCATTGCTCCCAGTCTGATCAATGGACAGAGGAATTGTTTCCCACCTCCCGTCGGGCTGCTGTCGTCCAAGCACGGCGCGTGAGTCACCAGTACATGCCACGTGCAATGCACTGGTGTCCGGATCGAAGATCGATAGTAATGCACAGGAGCCAGCAAAGGCCGGGAGAAGGTCGCGGACCCTCTGGTGTAGAGGCTCATTACTCTGCGACGCCTCCATGGCGGTTTTGAAAATGGCATCATCGAGATTTACGAAGGCATTGCTGATGGCGCATGGGACCGTATCCACGCCCGCGACCGACTGGATTTCGTCCGGAATAGGCGTCACCTGGCTAAGGCTGTGACGCACAGAGGGAACGAGCTGATTCTTGAGGAGTTCTGCCGTCTGCCAGCCGGCATGACCGTCGAAAACTGCCCACGCCATCCAGGGTTCTTTGTCGCTGTGCCACGGGGAAGAAAACTTGGCATAGGTTAGCCGGTCCTCGCAGGGGCTGTTAGATGCGAGCTGGGCGCCATCATGACGGTCGATGCCAGGAACATCTCGCACTGAGAAGGAGTATGAGTCTTTGGATAGAGTGCGTGTGACTTCCTCGTGGGGGAAAGGAGGCTGGACGACTAGATTCTGAGCAGGTGCTTCATCAGGCAGGGGCACGCCATCTCTGTTGGCTGAGGACCACCACCAATACAGGCCCGACGTGGCGGCAAGACCAGTAGCTGTCAGGTACCTCAGCTGGGTCGCTGGGGAGCGTTTCGCGTAATGAAACTTCTTGGTCTGTTGTCGAAAGACTGGATTTCTAGCCGCTCGACCCAGACTGGATCGAATCCCACACTGTGGCAACATCGTAGCAACGAAACAAGACCATACAGAGGAGAGAATTGTGCATCAAGGTGTGTTGAGGTTGGGTTGTTTCCACCCAGTCTCTCGCAGGAGGAAAGGTGAACCAAGGTGAACTGCAACTCACCGCTTAAGGTAAGTGTGAGTCAAGTGCAACCTGTGAATGTAAGGGTGAAAACTGGAAATCACAGCCAAATTCTAAACACGGCTTAGCTGGGATGACTGTCACGTGCAGCGTGCAGGTGAATGTAGATCCGGTATTCTATTGGAAATTGCTAATTATAAATCTTGGCTTCCAGCCCAGGCAGAATCTCCAGGTCCTTCTCCCCATATGTGAACTTCCCATCATCCGAGACCTTCACATCCCGATTGCGGCGCTGCTGCTGCGTCTGCCGCACCTTGACCCACTGCTCCGTCGTCAGATGCTGCCCCAACTCTGTGAACACATTCTGG